TTTCCAAAGTGACCGCTGGATGGGATGAGCTCTGCCTTTTTTCCCATCCTGAGCTGCCTTCACTCCCCTCTGTCTAGGGGACAGGGCTCCCTCACTCCCAGGCCAACCTCCTGAGTCCGAGGGGCACTCGCTGGGCATTGCACGATGCCTGGTGCTCCCATCCTGCTCCTCCAACTCTCCCCCCCTGTCTTTCCAAAATGCTGGAAGAGCCCCGAAGGCAGCCAGGGCCACACGCTGCCTTGCCCCACTGCTGTAATCTAGGCTTACCCAGATCACCCTCTCTGATGAGCGGAGCTCACATTAGCGTACCAAAGACATGAGCAAACCAGTGCTGACTGTTCACTAATCCCTACTCCAGCCCTGGGTTTTTCTCTTCCTTGTCAAGCAGGGTGCCTGGAGAGTGCCAGTTCATTTTCTGCAATTGCAGAAACACAGTCCCATGTTTCCACCCTTTAGTCCTACTAGTCTGAAATCCCTGCATTGCCCACAGTCCCAGGCTGACAATGGGAGGAAAAAAAATACACTACCCTATTTCCCCAGCCTCTCACAAGCAGGCGAGGGACCTTCCTTTCCGCTGTTCCCACATCCCTTGGAGAAGGCCAGCCTAGGACAGGGTCACAGGTGAAGTCTTTTGCTTTGTCCATTCTAGCACGTGCAATAATCATGGAAGCAAAGCAGATGAAGGAGCTCCTGCAGGACCTACCCAGTCCATCGCCCATTCCCCCTCCAGCCCTTGCTCGCTGCCGCCCTGCAGTCACACCAGCAGCCAGCCAGGGATGTGTCACCTCCTTGAAGGCCTCTACAAACCCCAACAAAGTCACAAGAACATCTTGCGTGGACTCAAGGAGCTGGGGGTAAATAAGGCTGCTGTAGCGGGGCAGGGATGCGGTACAGCTGAGGAGATGGGGACTGCGTCAGAGGGGCTGGGGATGGGGCAGATGCACAGACATCTCTCAGAGACTGCATGACGAGGATACTTGAGATGTGCTCTGCCTGCACTGCTCATCCCTACCTGCTCCCCTACCTTCGCGTCCATCCCTCAAGCCTTACAGCGCACCCAATAGAGTCCAAATGCCTTCAAGTATTTTCAGCTTCTAGAGCCTGGCTGCTCAACCCAGACTGCCTGAGTTTCTGCTGAAGCCCAGCTAAGATCAGGAGGACCTCAAAGGAACAGTGAGGCTCAAAGCCTCCTCTCTGCCCTAGAAATACGGAGCACCCGGCGTGACATCACCTCTTTCGCACATCCCACTTGCGCCCAGCTCACCCTACTTGGGACTGAGCAGCGAAAGCGCAATTAAAGCTCTTCCAGGTTTGCAGCCTGCCCAAACACACTCCCACACTCCTTCCCCCAGGGACAAACACTGGTCTGGCACGTGTCCTGGCTGATCTCACGGTTTTCCTAATGAATACAGTTGCTTTTAATTACAAGTATCCACAGCCACCGTTAGCCAAAGAGGAAGCCATCCTCGGAGTGGCAGGACTGTGTTTATGCTCTGGGATCTGTGCCTGTCGGGCTCCTTTAATTAGAGGGAGCTGCCTGCCCGCGAGCCCTGGGACGCCGGCTAGCAGCAGGCTCCTCGCCAACAGCAGCAGCCGGGGGACTCCAGCCCGGGGAAACAGCAGGAGGGAAAGGAGGCGGCACAGATGTTGCCACCGCTCTCTAGGTCAGTGGGTCCCGAGCAGAAATGCCCACAGCCAAATGCCACGGGGGAAGCGCTGCCTTGGTCTGAGTTTCAGCAGCCGTCGCCCACAGACTGACCTTCTTCTGCCCAGCCTGCATTTTTGAGCTGATGACAGCCCCAACATTTCTCCCCAACCCTTGCCATTTCCCGCTGGTCTGCCCTCAATACTCCTGATACAAGAGGAAACGTTTTTAAAGCAAATCCCCCTGGGGAGGTGGGGGGGGCAGGGGACTCACCACAGGCACCATTGAACTTCTTGAAAACATTCTCCTGCTTGTCGCAGGCGTGCTTGTTGAGGTCGCACTCGCTGCGGTAGTCTTTGCCGTCGCTGCCGCACACCGTGCTCTCGGGCACGCCGCTGCAGGACGACGGGCAGACGCACTTGGCTGCCTGGCCGTCGGTGGAGCGGACGCACGTGCTGCCAAAGCTGCAGGTCACCTCTGCGCAGGGGTCCTTGGAGCCTGCGGGAGAGAGGAGAGGACACGGCGCAGGCGTGAGCACAGCGGCCCGTGCTCCCGCGCTGCCCTCTCCCGCTCGCTCCTCTCACGGGACAAATAAGCCCAGCACACTACAATATCTATCCAGACAGCCCCAGCCCCTCCGAGCGCCCAGAAACGTGCACAACGGCAATGGATGTCCTCCCCTTGGCTTCAGCAGATGCTGGAGCCGGTGCCGTATACCTGGTCGCACAGCAGCGAGCTCATCCACCCCGACGTCTGCAGAGGCAGGCAGGATCGCGAGGCTGTAGGATCAGCCCCAAACCCACAGCACGCGAGGAAGGGAGCTCGCTCCCCACCTGGCGCTTGAGGCAGAGCCCCTCCTTTCTAAACCTCGCAGCCTCACTGCTGCAAGCTCCCTCCCCTGCACATGCTCTCCGAGATCCTCTGCCTTCAGCAAACGAGCAAAACGAGGATCCTTAAGGCACCTCCTGCAAACCATAATTAGAGGAAGAGCTCAAGGAGCAATTTCCTCACTGATGGGGAAGGGCCAAAATTTATTTGCCAGCTTTTTTTGCCTTTTTTTTTTTCCTTTATTTGTCTTTTTTTTCTGATTATTGTTTTAAATAAATCACTCGGCACTCTCTCCTCTCTGACAAGAGCCCCAGCAGGAGTGCCGGGTGCAGATTTATTGCAAGCCAGAGCACTGCATGAGAGAAAGGTCAAGTTAATTTACTCTGAGATGAGGAGACTGGGGTCTCATTTACACAGCTCCTTGCTCACAGCTGGTGAATGCCAGGCTGGGGAAGGGCTTTCATCCTGGTCCCTCCAACTCCAACTTCTACCTGTGGCAGATGTGACCCACGCTGGGGAGGCAGCGTGGCGCAGCAGGCAGAGCTGCTCGAGACAGAAGGCTGTTCCCCGCTGTCTGCCACGCACCTCTTGAACGGTCTTCAGCCATCAGTTTGCCAGCTTATTAAACTCCGCCGATCACCAAGGCAGAGCTGGTGATTGTCTCACAGTGTCCCTTCCCATCAGACCTGTCCCCATCCCTCGGGACATCACCAGCACCGCCGTGACAACATGAGCTCGGGCCATGAAAGCAGGAGAGCCCGCCCTCGCACTCACCGCACGGTCCCTTGCTGATGACTTTGATCCGTCTCTGCTGGTTGCACTGGGCCTTCTCCAGCTCACACTCGTTGCTGTAGGTGGAGTAATCGGAGCCACAGACAGGAGCCACCACGACGGGGCAAGCTGTCTTCTTGCAGACGCAGGAGGCCTGGGAGGGGTCGGTGGAGCTCCTCTCACACACCGCCCCGAACCCACACAGCATCCCTCGACATGCTGTGGGCACAGACACGGAGAGACCAGTGAGCCGGGGCTGCTCCTCTGCAAGCGGGAGGGATGCAGAGCAGCACCCGTGCCTTTATCTCCCCTGGCAGA